GTGGCAGAGGTGGGGCTGGGACTCCTGCGTCTCCCTATTCCACGCTGACATCAGCCTGTTCTTCCACAACAGGTCGGGTCTGCACCCACACGGAATGCCAGGAGAGTCCGTCTCTTTTCCAGAGACTGTGCAGATTTTAATCCCCCAACAACAGAGCCAAAGCTCAGGGTTCACAGCCATGGGCTCAGGCCTAGCTCTCTTCATCAATTGCAAAGCTGTGGCTACACCAAACACCCTGTTAGGGTTTGTCCTGTAGAACATTTCTCTAAGGCCATGAGGCTGCTCAGAGGGGCAGCTCTTGGCTCATTCTGAAAACAGGGAGATCAGAGCTGGGAACCATCTCTACCCTATAGCCTGCCTTCTAAAACTATGGGGGAAAGTCCTACAAATAAAAGCAAAATTGAAGGAGGCAAGCTCTACCAACAACAGTAAGAGCTGACCCATGGTGAATCCTTATTCCATAACATCTGATGGGCCACGGAATACACACAGCCCTACAAGATGGGTATTATTATTTTACACAGGAGAAAACTGGGGCTCAGAGTGGTTTGAAAAAAGTAGGTCAAGGACACACAGCTAGGTAGCAGAAGAACCGGAAATAATACAGTGATCTCGTGATGGTCCACACTCAGGATCGCATGGCCTCACCTCTGTTTGGTCTGGCCAATAAGCAATCAACCCGCTTTCCCATGCCATCTGTCAGCTGGCAAGGGCCTTAGTAATCACCTATCTGAGGGAGCAGGCACCCACAAACCTGAATCCGAGTTCTCCGGAAAAGATCCAATCAACCAGCTGTTCTAGCATTTCCCACACAGCTCAGTCTCTCAACTTACTTTCAACTAAACAAGACATTCTACTTGCAGCCCTCCATTCTTCTTTCTTATCATGCTAGGGTAAGTACATGCCTACATTGACAGTTCTAGTAACAAAGGCCTCAAAACATCACCTGACATTTCCTCAAAACCACTCCAACAGGGTTTCATTTAGGGTATTTTTCTCTTTTCTACCCGCCCCCTGCCCACACCCCAGATCTATGAACATTCAGAATTCAGGGGAAGGAAACAAAGATCAGAAAGGAAGCTTCAACTGTAATAAAACTCCAGATATGGACAGAGGTGAGAACATCTGTTCCATGACCCTTAACTGAAAGTTTCAAGATGAGGAAATCAGGCCATCCTTCAACTTGCCTCACAGGAATCTCTCAAAGGCTGGGCTGTGGGCACCTCACTTCCTCATTCCTGCAGAGGCTTCAGATGGGGCTATGCCTAAGCAGTGGGTAGGAGCGGACCTGTCACTGGCTGCAGACCGCTGGGCAGTGATGGGAGAGCGGGGAGCGCCCCTGCAAGTCCTGGGAACCCTCAGAGCGGCTATGGAGAGCCAACGCACAAGCTGGAGGATCCACATGGGTCCCAGTGTCAGGCTGCTTAAAGAGGGAGGGCTTGCTGGCGTCCTCTCCCCACGGAACACCCTGGTGCACAAGACCCATATTCCCACTCACAGAGAGTGAGTGGTTTGGGTATTGGGGGCACCCCTTTCCTCTGTGTCTTGCCCACACATCACTCCATCTGGGTTGTATAGCAGGGGTAGGAAACTCTCGAGTTCTGTGTAATAAGCACAGCAGGCAGGGTGTGGGGGAAATGATGACATAGCCTGTATCTTTCTGACATAGAAACACTGCAGAGAAAACAAGACTCTTCATTCCCTCAGGTGAATATGCGCTTATCCCATTTTTCTTGGGACAAGAGCTTCTCAACCTATTTTTGTTATCCCCTTTTGGACAGATGCATAAAAAGACTGCTCACTGTAGAAACAACATTGTGAGTGTGACGGAGCCCCGTCTCAAAGCTGAGGACACTTCAGGGAGTAGCGGAGGCCAGGGGAACAGGGGGGCACGACTCTGCTCTAGAACTGCCTTTGGGAATTCCTGGGGGCAGCACATGTGAAATCTCCCAATTTTCAACACTGATTCAGTGGTTTTTTTGGTTGTTGTTTTTTGTTGTGTTTTGTTTTGACTTTCTGCTGGCCCGATAAAACTTCTGTTGGTTGCATGTGGCCCAGACCCCATCTGTAACCAAGGCAGTTGAATGTAGTCAAAAGACAGTTCGCCTAGACTGACTAACCAACTCTTGGGTGTGTAGCTTAGCTGTCTGCAAAAGGCAGTATGGACAGCGGAGGGGCTGGAGAATCCATGCGAAGACCCAACAGATTTGCGTTTGAATCCTGGCTCTGCTTTTATTAGCTGCAAGAGTCCAAGTCCACCATTAACCTTACTTAGCTACCATGCCATCTGCAAAATGGGCTGATGGGAGATTTGTGAGAATTAAAAACGTGTGTGCGAAGACTACCATGAACTCTTCATAAATGTCAAATTTCCTTCCCCCCGTAACTCTAAAGAAACGATTTAGCCTAATCTTAGCTTCTTCAGATGTCATGGTTTTCATCTGTTAGAAACTAGAATAATCAACCAGCACTGAGGCTGTACCTCACAGGATGGGATGAAGTGGTGCAGATAAAAGCAGGGCGCTTACAACGTAGAAAAGTATGATCAGCTTGATTGCCAACACCCTTTCCTCTCATTTCGAGGCCAACAAAGCAGCAATCTGCTTTCCTAAATGTGTTTATCCCCTTCCGTAAGGGGATGTGGGGAGAAGATGGAGTCACAGCGATTAGCAATCTTTAAAACAGAGATTAGCAATCAACTCCCCAGGGTCCAATCCCACCATCCTTACACAGAGGTGAGGAAACATTAGGTCACTGCCTGGTCACTTAAGGGCCCAGCAAGTCTGCTTTCTCTCTCCACGCCTTGTTTTAGACAACCGAGGAAGAAAGTCAAGTCACTTAACAGCTGCAATGTTTCTTTTCCTCACACAAAGAAAACTGAGCCGCAGGCCAAACACATTCATTGAAGTACCATCACTATGACATTTTCCAAACGCACGGGGATTTTTGTCAATTCTCTTATTTTCCACACCCTTTGACAAAAGTGGGACATGCTTTGGCATTTCCTCAACTGACTGACTTAAAGCATCTTTACAACTTCTTTTACACGAATGGGACTACACCAGCAAGGTCTAGGCTGAGGGGCCTGATCTAACATTTCAACTTTTTTTTTTAATGTTTATTTACTTCTGAGAGAGAGACAGAGCGTGAAGGGGAAAGGGACAGAGAGACAGGGAGACACAGAATCCGAAGCAGGGTCCAGGCTCTGAGCTGTCAGCATAGAACCCAATGGGGGGCTCGAACCCACGAACTGTGGGATCATGACCTGAGCAGAAATCAGACGCCCAACCGACTAAGCCACCCAGGAGCACCAACACTTCAACTTTCAACTATTACGGACAGGTTTTCTCTTAAAAGCAAAGAGGCATTAAAATCAGTTCCGCTGAAGCTACTAAGGATTTTTACCTTTCAGGAGTATGCCTCTCCCCACCCCAAACTTTAAAAGCTCCCTCATGCAATCGCCATGTTTCCAAATCACCAATCAAGCATGACAGAATGAGCAGGAATTGTATAATAAATCTAGAGGAAAAAAATGAACAAGTTGGATGAATATACAGATATTACTCCTCCCACCCAGCCCCTTCTTCAAAGCAAGGTTCTGGTAAAGGAAAAAGAACACCACAGAATGTTTTAGGGGTCGCTTCTTTGCTAAACACTTTCAAGTCATAATGCCTGGGGCAAACAAGGTGAAAATGACAATACAAATAGGTTAAGATCTCTTTCAGGCAATAAGTAGACCTCCACTTACCTAGTGATTTGTTTTTATAATGTACACTCTTTACTGATGTATATACCATGCTTCCAAAAGTATACACCAATCTTAAATGGATAAGTACTGTGTTTACTACTCTGAGCTGTTTCTTGATGTGCATAACTTGGAAAGGATTTGGGCAGCTCAGAAAAACTGCTACCACATTTTACACAACCTGTCTGTCTGGACACAACTCAACCCCTAGGCTTGCTAATACCCTTTGTATCAAAAGGGCTGACCCAGCATCCACCTGCATCAACTTGATCCCCTCAGCTCTGTCGCACTCAGCAAACACCCTATGCCTTCTGAGCAAAATAAAGCAGCACCCCACGAGGGAGAAAAAGAAGTTTTATGAGTCTGAAGAGGCAGGTTTTACACCCGATTTACAAAGAGTGAGGGTCTGTGGAAGGCCTTGAATCTCTTCTAGAAACACTCACTGGTGGTGCCTTCCAACCTACCGTCAGGAAAACAAACAAACAAACAAAAGCTCAGCTGGCAATGGTGGTGGTTACTTTTAAAGGGAAATGCCAAACATAGGAAAGTAGAGACAATAGTGTAAGGAATTCCATACCCCACCCTTCATCCCGCCTCAACTATTAACAACTCACAGCGAATCTCCTTTGGAGCTCCCCCCTCACTTTTCCACTAGCAGTGTTGCCCCAAAGTGGTTTATTTTGAAGCAAACCCTCCATCTATATTTCAACTTCAGTATGTATTTTTAAAGGGGTTTTTTTTTTTAACAACCACAATCCTAACACCATTACCAAAAATAACTAAACAAAACTAATATTTACTTGTACGATCAACTGACCAGTACACATCTCTTTTATTGGCTCAATGTTTCATGAACTTCTCCCCTTCGAATCAGGATCCAACCAACGTTCGCAGACGGACTGCACTGCTGTGTCACGTCTCTTCAACAGTGTTTAAACCGCAGGTTCCCCCTTCCCCGTGATTCTCACGGCAGCCGCGCTGATCCCTAGTGGCAAATTCCCAATGATTCAACTCTGGGGATACCACAAAGAGACTCCGGCCTTAAAGGCTTGCTTAAAAAACGTCAGACACGTATATTAAGCAGTCATTTTTGTAATTAAATACGTTTAGAAAAAAAAAAAAAAATCTGAGAAGCACAAGCGAAACGATTTGACCTGAAGCGATTAGCAATCCTCAGGGCCACTCAAGCACGCGTCCTTTGCAATTCTGATCCGTGTGGGTTTATTTATGAGGTTAGAGCATATCCCAGCCTTACCCGAGTCTTTTGCAAAAGGTGGGGCGGAGCGAGCCGGTTTCCTCGCAGGACGACCCTCCTCCGCGGGCTAGGTCCTGGCGGTCGCCTCCGGAATTCCGGGGTTGGACCCAGCTGCCGCCTCCCAGGGCCACCTGCCCAGGTGAGAAAAAGGAGCTTCAGCTGACGAGTTCCGGAAAGCAGCCCCAGGTTATCTAGAAGGAATTCTGAGCCAGCCAGGATAGAGGAACGAACCAGGGTACCACGGTCTCGTAGAACAAACAGCCCTGAAAAATCTTGGGGCTTAATCTCTGTGCCGGCGCGAGCGGGGGCACGGTCCCCAACGCCGAAGGGCCAAGAGAGGGGACGCGGAGTCCGCCCCAACGAACACACGTGCGTCTGTGTACGTGACTGATTACATCCACCTCTGGGTGCCAGGGGAGGAAAATTACATAGACCATTTCTACATCACCTGTGTATGTTGAAAAGCTATCTCCACTGGAAACAGGGTGTGAATGTCTGGCCAACCCAAGCCACGGACCCCGGACCAGAAACCCACTACAGACCGCCGGCGCGAAGGCGACGCGGTAACCCCCAATCCGAAGCGGTCAGGCTCGGGCGTCTGCAGCTTTCCGCCAAGGGTCCTCCGCCCCACTCCAGGATCTCTTAAGTAGTAAACCCCAGCTTCTGAATCCCTGTAAGAAATTCGTCTCCTTCCTCGACGCGCACAACGCGCGCCGGAGAAAACGCGGGCGCCGCTGACCATTCTGGACCCCGGGGCGAGCAAGCAGGTGCGAACCGCCGGGCGCCGGCCCCCGCACTCACCCGAAGTGCAGCGGTTTCCGGCGTGCGCTCCGCGTTCCCGGCGCTGGGTGCCAGACCAGACACCTGCTGCGCCCGGCCCCAGGTGACCGCCGAGAGAGGGGCGGGAGCCCCGCGCGCCCGCCCGGCTCCGCCCCGAGCGCTCAAAGGAGGAGGGCGGGGGCTGCGAGTCCGGCCCCGAAGCCCCAGCTGCGGCCGGCTAGCCGCCTGGCGCCAGGAAGCGCGGGCGTCCGCGGGGGCCCGACTTTGAACACGCACGCCCCGTCGCGACCCCGCCGGGAGGCTGGCCGGAGGGGGGCCCCCTGCCGGTGGGGCGGCGACAAACGATGGAAGCCGCCACCCCGGATCCTTGGGAGAGGGGTAGAGAAGGGGGAGAGCTGCAGCCACTCGCCGCTTAGTGACACCCCCTGCCGTGTACCAGGCGTTGAAGCCCCAGCCCCAGCCCCAACCCAAGGAGAATCTACGTCCCCAGTAGGGTGGGCAGGGCCATTGGCAGTTGTCTCCAAATGAAGGTACACGCAGGGTGACAGAACCTGAAATATGCATGCCACTAAGCAAAGCCTGCAGTGCACTATGAATTCACAGTTTTATATAAACTGCAAATAGCACATTTGCAAATAGCACAATTACATTGCATTGTCTTTTTTTTTATCAACAACGGTGCTAAAATATTGTATTTATTCAACAAGTATTTGTTGAACACCTACAAGTTCCCAGTCGTCTAAACATTTAAAATGTGGCACAATTTCCTCCTCCTTTTCATGCAGAACCTTGAACAAGGGGAGTGGCCTGGGCCTTTTTTTTAACCCCTCAGAAAGCCTGGACTGGCTCTACGAGGAATCTAGTAAACGCCCGCCAGAGGGTGCAATAAGAACCGAGCCTTGGCAGAAGTTTAAGTGTGCGAAGCTACTGGAACTGAGGACTTCCCCAGAGAATTCCTGGAGGTGAGCTGGAGTAGTAAAGGACCATAGGATTCTCCAGGATGTGAAGTGTTTCAGCCGAGATGTCACCGTGAGCAAAGCCAGAAGCAGAAAGCTGGGCAGGGTGTGCACGTTCTGATAGAGAAAAGGCATGTGACTCAGCATAGCTGAGAAGGAGAGGATGTGAGCTGAGGTCGAGCAGCGAGCGTGAGGGGGCCAGATTATGTTCCTCTCAAAAATAACAGCCGCCGTCTATGGAGTGTATATAAAACAGGAGGTGGACAAGCATCACGTCAAACTAAGCTCGCACCAACCCTACAAGGTAGGGTTATTATTCATCCAAGAGGAAAATGAAGACTTGCTAGTGACAGGGCTGGGAAGAGGTGACTTTGAGGGGCTAGCCGCACTCTTACTGGCACTTTCCAGCCAATCCAGGAGACCGAATTTGTCTTCAGACGCTCCCAGCATCCCCAAGTATCCTCGAGTGCCTACTGCTCTCCCTCCATCCCCCAAAGCCTGAGTTAACTGCCCCAGACCCCTCCTGTCTAGAAATGATTCCGGAGCACACGACTGTGCACATCAGACCCCTTCCCAAGGGGAACCCTGGCTCAGGGGCCTGTGGCGGGACTGAGGCAGAGCCCTTGGTTGCTCCCCAATATCTATTCTCTCCTTCCGTAATAACAGAATTGAAGCTGAGCCCAAGGCTGCTCAGAACATTTCCTTGCCTCTCTTGCACGAAAACTTGTCAACAGAGTTGCCCAGAGCCCCTGGAATCCACTAGATCCAGCAGCACTTCTGAGGTCGCTGTTCCTCCCCCAACATCCTTGTTCTGTCCGATATTCTTCATGGGGCAGTCATTGCTCACTGCCTTCTTAATACCCATTTCTCCTACTTTCCTAAGAGCACGCAGAGTTCGGTCAGGGAGGCAGTAAGCGGAGCGAAAAGTGCTCATCTTCCCAGGGGGCCTTGCGGAGCAGTCACGTGGCTCAACTCTGGCCAATGAGATGTAGGAGGAAGTCTCCTAGCGAGGCCTGAGGAGTTTACTGTTCAGGACCGTTGCGCAGTTGTCACAGCATTCCTCCTGTTTCCCTCCGGCTGTGAGGTGGTTGTGAAGTTGGAGGGGGTGCAGCCGTTTTGTGGCCACAGAGCAACACACCAGAAAAAGGAGGAGCGGCACTTAAGACATGAGATGAATAATTCCCTTACTTGTTTTACGCACTCTCGGTCAGGTTTTGTTACAAGCAATTGAATAGTTACAAGCAATTGAATACAGTCCTCATGGATACACTATTCCTTCCAAAGAAAAGCCTCAGAAAGAAATCCTGGTTGATACCCTACCTGATATAGAGTATTATAGCCGAAAAAGGATGGGTTTTGGGTATGAGACAATGCAACAATCCAAGTATGAGTTTCAGCCCTTCTTCTTTTTTTTTTTTTTTTTTAGCTAATGACTTTGGGCAAAATTGTGAACCTAGATTATGTATTGTAAAATTAGGAATTGTCATAAAAGCACAAGGCACAGTACTTGGCATATGGTGTGCGATTAATAAATGATCATTGATAGAGTTCCTGGCCTCCACCAGATGGATACCTAGCCTTATGTTGATTCAGAATCGCATATCCACTTTCCAATTTCACCCCTAGACAAATATTTTTGCCTATTCTTATCTTAGATGCTTTGGAACAAAGTCAATCTTAAAGTTTCAATCTTCTTGTTTCCTCGATTTCTCGATTATATCTGCTGTACCAAAAGTTGTTTTTAAAAAAAGAATAGAGGGGCATCTGGCTGGTTCAGTCAGTAGAGCATGCCACTCCTGATCTCAGGGTCATGAGTTCAAGCCCACTTTAGACATAAAGTTTACTTAAAATAAATGAAAAATAAAAAAAAGTAAAAGAATAGAATTATGTGCTTTGTAGCAAATAGTCATGAATTACTGGTACCGTAGGTTAACAAATGCAAGTGCATATTTCTGTTTGAATCTTTTTAAAATAAGAAACTCTATTTTCAATGCTGCTAGGTTTGTATTTTTAATTACCAAAAAGATGTTTTCATGGTCCAAAAACATGCTTTTGTTGAAACCACCTCATATCCCTCTTTGCGGAAATTGAATAACATTAAAAATTGGCATTACTCATGGGCAGCCTGGGTGGCTCAAGTTAGTTAAGCATCTAACGTTGGCTCAGGTCATGATCTCATAGTTCGTGGGTTCGAGCCCCACATCGGGCTCGGTGCTGATGGCTTGGAGCCTGGAGTCTACTTCGGATTGTGTATGTCTCTCTCTCTCTGTCCCTCCTTGGCTCCCACTCTGTCTCTCTCTCTCTCTCAAAAATAAAATAAAATAAAATAAAATAAAATAAAATAAAATAAAATAAAATATAAAAATTAGTATTACTTAGATTTTTAGTTTAAAAAATATACATGCTTTCAACTGTAGTTTTTAAGTAAAAAAAAAAAAAAAAGTACCATAATTTAACTTGCCTAATTTAACCTGCCTTCTATTACTAGACATTTAGGTTATTTTTAGTTTCTCTCAATTACAGACAACATTGCCTTGAACATCTTTGTCCCTATGCTTTGGCCAATTCCTGTAAGCCGACCACGTCTCCCCACTCCACTGTTACCTCCCCACCCCACCAACTCCAAGCCACTACCCTCCTGTTGATTGTATTATTGGAATAGCCTCCTGAACAGCTCCCTGTGTTTGCCCTTGCCCTCCCTCAATCCATCTACAGCACAGTAGCTGGAATAGTCAGGTTAAAACGTAGGTCAGATATTATCCCTCTCTGCTCAAAACTTTCCAGTGGTTTCCTTCTCATTCAGAGTGAAAACCAGTCCTTACAATGGCCTATAAAACTGTTCTGTCTGTCCCCCAATGCCGTTACCTCTCTGAGCTGTCTCCTTCCATATTCCACTCTGTTCCAGCCATACTAGCTTCCTTGTGGCCTATTATTTGTGTGCCAGGTACGCTTCTGCCACAGGGCCTTTGCACTTGCCATCTCTTTTTGTAACTCTCTTCTTCCAAATACCATATGATTTGATATTCTACCTCCTTCAAGTCTTTACTCATATGAGTGTCTTCCCTGAGCACAAATTACCAAGTGCCTGATACCTTCCGGTTCCCTCTCTTGCATTCTCTTTTCCCCTTAGCACTTTTCACCTTCTAACATACTGTATCTTTGAAGTGTTCACCTTCTTTACTGTTTTCCCTCCACTCTTCCGCCTCAGAATGTGCACTCCAAGAGGGTAAGGATTTTTTTTTTTTTTTTTAGAGTAGGGATTGGTTTCGTTTATTGCAGTATCTCCAGCAACTAGCAGTTTTCAGTATAGATTTGTTGAGTGAATGAAAGTTGTGTTTAAGTATGTAAAATAGGTTCCTCGAAGAATAATTTCTGGGCCACAGGGATTTATGTTTAGAATTTTACTCAACCCCTCCAAATTGCCCTTTCCAAAGGTTGGAACAACATTCCTACCAACTGACCACTAGTTTCCCCTCACACTCACCACTGTGACCACATACTTGTCTTTCTTTTATTTTTAAATTATTATTTATGTATTTATTTTGAGAGAGACAGAGATAGCATGAGTTAGGAAGAGGCAGAGAGAGAAGGGGAGAGAGAGAATACCAAGCAGGCTCCATGCTGCCAGCGCAGAGCCCAACTCAGGGCTCAAACTCATGAAACCAAGAGATCATGACCTGAGCCAAAACCAGGAGTTGGATGCTTAACCGACTGAACCACCCAGGTGCCCCTCTTTCTTTCTTTCTTTCTTTCTTTCTTTCTTTTTTTACATGTTTATTTATTTCTTTTGGCAGAGAGCACCAGTGGGGCAGAGGCAGAGAGAGAGGGAGAAAGATAATCCCAAGCAGGCTCTATGCCCGATGCAGGGCTTGATCCCATGACCCTGGGATCAAGATTTGAGCAAAAATCAAGAGTCAGATACCCAACTGACTGAGCCACCCAGGAGCCCCCATACTTGTCTTTCTTAAATGCTATGTGAAGGGCTTGTCAGACAAAGTCTCTCTGACAAACAACAGAATCTACTCTATCTAATTTAAGCAGAAGAATAAATTTTT